CCAACTCCCACCCAGCACAGCGTTTCGTGGCCCATTGGGGAGCCCCACCGAAGCCCCCAGTGGGACCGCCCGCATGCGCCCCCCACACCCGATATGGAATTTCCACCCACCCAGTACAGCGCTTCGTGGCCCCATAAGGAGTTCCACCGAATCCACTGGGACCGCCCACACGCGTCCCCCACGCCCAATCAGCATTGCCACCCACCCAGTACAGCGCTTCGTGGCCCCATAGGGAGCCCCACCGAAGCCCCCAATGAAACCGCCCGCATGCGTCCACCATGCCCAATTTGGCATTTTCACCCGCACAGTACAGCGCTTCGTGGCCCCATAGGGAGCACCACCGAAGCCCCCAGTGGGATCGCCCGCATGCGCACCCCACACCCAATTTGGCATTGTCACCCAGCACGGCGCGTCGTGGCCACATAGGGAGCTCCACCGAAGCCCCCAGTGGGACCGCCCGCATGCGTCCCCCACACTAAATTTCACATTTTCACAAACCCAGTACAGCGCTTCGTGGCCCCATAGGGAAGCCCCGAGTGGGACCGCCCGCATGCGCCCCCCACGCCCAATTTGGCAGCTTCACCCACTACATTTCAGCGCTTCGCGGCCTCATTGGGAGCTCCACCGAAGCTTCCAGTGGTACCGCCCACCTGCGCCCCCCACATCCAATTTGGCAGTTTCACCCACCCAGTACAGCGTTTTCGTGGCCCACTGGGGAGCCCCACCGAAGCCCTCAGTGGGACCGCCCGCATGCGTCCCCCACACCCAACTTGGCATTGTCACCCACCCAATACAGCGCTTCGTGGCCCCATAGGGGGCCTTACCGAAGCCCCCAGTGGGACCGCCCGCATGCGCCCCCCACACCCGGTTTGGCATTGTCACCCACCCAGTACAGCGCTCCGTGGCCCCATAGGGAGCCCCACCGAAACCCCCAATGCACCGTGCCCAATTTGGCATTTTCACCCGCCCAGTACAGCGCTTGGTGGCCCCATAGGGAGCTCCACCGAAGCTCCCACTGGGACCGCCCGCACGCGTCCCCCACGGAGCTCCACCGAAGCCTCCAGTGGGACCGCCCGCATGCGTTTGCCACACCCGATTTGGCATGTTCACCGACTTTGTACAGCGCTCCGTGGCCCCATAGGGAGCCCCACCGAAGCCCCCAGCGGGGCCGCCCGCATGCGTCCCCCACATTCAATTTGGCAGTGCCACCCACCTTTTACAACGCTTCGCGGCCCCATGGGGAGCTCCACCGAAGCCCCCAATGGGACCGCCCGCATGCGTCCCACACGCCTAATTTGGTACTGTCACCCACCGAGTGCAGCGCTTCGTGGCCTCTTAGGGGGCTTCACCGACGGCCCCAGTGCTACCGCCCGCACGCGTCCCCCCCCCCCCCGCCCAGCGCAGCGCTTCGTGGCCCCATAGGGAGCTTCACCGAAGAAGATATGCACAATTGCAGTACCCACAACTTCATATGGTGGGGTCCTTCGCCAGGATATGTTTTTTGGTTCCCAACCATCCTGTGGTGTTGGTCCTCGTTTTGAAAAGACGGTCCCCGCGTTCCTTCCGTCCTTCTTTCATTCATTCTTCATCCCCCTCCCCCCATCCCTGCACCTGCCCTGCGCATGTCCTCGTCGTCGCCGTCACCATCACCATCATCAGCACCATCATCAACATCATCGCCATGTCATCGTCATCATCATCATCGACGTCATGATCACCACCGTTATCGTCACAGCCATCGCCACCAATTCCGCCACGCCCCTTACACGTTGAAAGCTTCAATGGCGGTGTTCGTTAGCGCCTCCCCCGCCCAGCACAGGGCTTCGCGGCCCCATCGGGAGCCCCATATGAGGCTCTGGTCGCGGTGTTCGCATGCGCCCCCCCCCCCCCACCACCACCCAGCACAGCGTTTCGTGGCCCCACAGGGAGCTCCACCTACGGCCCAGTGGCGGTTTCGCATGCGCCCCCCACCCCCCCACCCAGGACAGCGCTTCGTGGCCCCACAAGGAGCCCCACCTATGGTCTCAGCGGCGGTGTTCGCATGCGCCTCTCCCACTCAGTACAGCGTTTCGTGGCCCCACATCGAGCTCCACATCAGGCCCTTGTGGCGGTGTTTGCATGCGCTCCCCCAACCCAGGACAGCGTTTCGTGGCCCTACAGGAGCTCCACCTAAAGCCTCTTTTTGCGGCGGTGTTCGCACGCGTCTCCCCCACCCAGCACAGAGCTTCGTGGCCCTACAGGAATCTCCACCTACGGCCCCAGTGGCGGTGTTCGCATGCGTTTCCCCACCAAGGACAGCGCTTCGCGGCCCCACATCGAGCTCCACGTCAGGCCCTTTTGTGGCGTTGTTTGCCTGCGTTTCCCCCACCCAGGACAGCGTTCCCTGGCCCAGACAGGGAGCTCCACCTAAAGCCTTTGTTTTGTGACGGTGTTCGCATGCGTCTCCCCCACCCAGCACATGGCTTCCTGGCCCCACAGGGGGCTCCACCTACGGCCCCAGTGGCGGTGTTTGCATGAGTCTCCCCCACCAAGGACAACGTTTCGTGGCCCCACATCGAGCTCCACCTAAGGCTCCGATGGCGGTGTTCGCATGCGTCTTCCCCACCAAGGACACCGTTTCGTGGCCCCACAGGGAGCCCCACCTACGGCCCAGCGGCGGTGTTCGCATGCGTCTCCCCCACCCAGGACAGCGGCTCGTGGCCCGACATCGAGCTCCACTGAAAGCCCCCGTGGCGGTGTTCGCATGCGCCTCCCCCATTCAGGATTGCGTTTCGTGTCCTCACATCGAGCTCCACCTAGGGCCCCAAATGGCGGTGTTCACATGCGCCCCCACCCCCCACACCTAGGACAGCGTTTCGTGGCCCCACAGGGAGCTCCACCTAAGGCCTCGGCGGCGGTGTTCGCATGCGTTTCCCCACCCCGAACAGCGTTTCGTCGCCCCACAGGGAGCTCCACTTGAGGCCCCAGTGGCGGTGTTCGCATGCGTCTCCCCACCCAGGACAGCGCTTCGCGGCTCCACAGGGAACTCCACCTGGGTGGAGCGACCTGCTGAGCTGCGGAGCCCTGCTTGGCGTACTGCAAAGCAGGCACCGCCTCGTGGCCCACAGAGGGAGACACCCTCACACATTTCGCGCCCCACACCATACGAAACCCCACTGATGATGATACACGCGATCGCGGTACATACAGCTGAATATGGTTGGGTCTTTCGCCATGTTAATTATTGTGTTCCTCTCTAGCCTTCCTGGGCACAAGGTGCCGCCGCTGCAGATCCCCCACAGTCAAAACCATTTTGCAAGGCCAGCACAAAAGGAATCACTTCGCACAGGCTGCTACAAAAGAATTCGAAGTGTGGAGGGTACGGCAGATCCCCCATGATTAAAATCTTCCTGCAAGACCACCCCACAAGGAATCCTTGTGTGTAGGCGTTACACATGGACTTCAATTGTGGAAGCCTCTGCAGACCCCAACAATCAAAATCTGTTGTAAGGTCGTCACAAAAGGGAACCATTGTTGCAAGAGGATATGTTGTTGCAAGCCTGCCTTACGATGCATTTTGTTGCAAGGTTGTCACAAAAGGAAATGACTAATCACGGCCGCCACAGATGATTTTGATGAGGATGGTGGTAGTGATGGTGATGGTGATGATGATGAGGGTGGTAATGATGATGATGGTGGTGATGACGATCAAAATGATGCTTGGCGAAAAGAAATTATCCTTGCTGTAGTCGTGCACTCAAAGGGTCGCGCGGGGGAGGCCAGGCCTCGAGCGTCGACCGGCGTGCGTCGGCGGCTGGGGGGCGGGGGGGGCGGAGGAGGAGCAGCGGCCGCGAGGGGAGTCATCGGGAGCAGGGCGAGCACGACGTGCACGGCGATGGACCCTTGCTGGTGGCGCGCCACTGGAAGAATCGACTCCTCCGCCTCCTCCTCATCCCTCCTCCTCCTCCCTCCTCCGATGAGGTAGATTCCATCGGATGGTCTCGGGTCCACCACGCCTGGCGCCATGCAATGCAGTTCGTTTGCTCTTTGGATTCCGTGCAGGGCCTCCACGATGCCGCAAGGCCGAGGAGGAGGGGACGAGGGGCGGGGAGCGAGAGGAGCGGGGCGACGAGGGTGTGCATGATGAGAGGCGGAGAGGGAGAGGAGGAAGAGGAGCAGGAGGAGGAGGGATAAGCTTAACTAATTAGATGGCCCCGCGCCTGAGGGACAGCGCAGTGTAGGTCGTCACCATCAAGCGGTGCAGTTCGACAGTGCCTCTTCCTCCCCCCCCCCTCCTCGACGGGAGGGGGGGGAGCCGCCGCTGACGCTCCCGCCGCGCCGTACCCGCGCAGGCGGCGCCAAAGCGCCCCTCGCCGGGCGACCCCCTCGCGTCGGCCGTCCCTCGCCGCGGCCGGCCAGCTGGGTGCGCCCTCCTCCGAGAGCCGTCGAGGGGGCCCTCGGGGAGCAGCTCGGCGGCGCGGCGGTCAGGGCCCAGACAGGCCCCTGGCCTCCTCGCGTCGCGCACAAGCAAACAAGCAGACAGGAACGGTCAGGAAATAAGCCAACACACGAAACAACCGGAAACAACCGTGAACAACATCAAAACAGCAGCAAAAGACAATCAAGCGCCGCGGCAGCGTTTGGACCATGTTCGGCCTCTGGAGGCCTCGCCGGGCCCCGGGACCGGAAAAACGACTCGGGATAAAAATTTGGTCTTTGGAAAGGGGCCCAGATTTCAGGGGAGCTTCAGGAGAGCGACACCACCACCAGCAGCGGGCCACCTCCGGCGAGGAGGCCTGCGATGCCTCCCCCGAGCTGAGGGCTGGAGACGTCTCTGGCGGGACGCCGCAGGACTTGGGGGCCACACCGTCCGGAGGACCCCGACTGGCTCTCGCCTTTGGTGGTGGTGTCGTCTTCTCCTGCCCTTGGAAAAGCATGTTCTGGAGGAAACGAGTCCTGTGCGTTTTTCGTCGCTTTCGGGCTGCTGGGAGCTCTCCCCGGGGGCCCCTCGCCAGGATGGGATGCTCGAGGGCCTAAGGTTAAGTCGGGCCTGTTCCTCTACAGGAGGGATATTCGAAAGTAGTCAAGAAATAGTCGGGGGACGATGTTTGGCTTATTTGGGGATTATTCTTGAATATTTGGAGGGTCTGTTTGATTTTCCGTCCAAAATCCGCCTGTAGGGGGACATGCCCGAACTGACGCCAGGATGGGATGCTCGAGGGCCGAAGGTTCCCGGACGTTTCTGGCCCGGGGAGGGTGGAGGGCCGAAGCTTCTCGAGGCCCCCGGGGACCTCTCCGAAGGGCCATCGGTCGGCACGGTCAGCGAGGAAGGGGGGAAGACAGGGCGAGAGGAGGAGCAGGAGAAGGAGCAGAGGCCAGCAGGAGGGAGAGGGGCAGGAGGAGAGAGCGGAGCAGCACGAGGAGGCTAAGGAGAATGAGGAAAAGACGGGTGGACAGAGGAGGACGAGGAGGAGGAGGAGGTTGGGAGGAAAGAGAGTAAGAAGGAGGAGGAGGAGGAAGAGGCGGGAAGGAGGAGGAGAAAGAAGCAGAGCTGAGAAGGAGGAGAATGGTGAGGAGGAGGAGGAGGAGGAGAAGGAGGACTATGACGACGAGGGGAAAGGAGGAGCAGGAGGGAGAGAAGGAGAAGAGGGGGGGGACGAGGAGGAGGTTTCTGGGCCCACCTGGCCCCAGGATGGCCGGCCATTCGGTGCCCCCCGTCCCTCCGCCAGCCCGCATGCGGGGGCCCTGACGGCGTCACCACCACCGAAAGGAGCACCACCATGGAGAACCGGAGCTCCAGCATGGAGGATCGGGGCCTCCCTCCATCGAGGGCGGCGGTCGGCGCGAGCAGGAGGCGGAGGAGGGGGAGGAGGAGGAAAAGGGTGAGGGGTGACTTGGGAAGCGGAAGAGGGTCATCGAGGGAGGAGGCGGAGGAGGAGGAGGAGGAGGAGGAGGATGGGGAGGAGGTGCAGGAGGAGGAGTTGGAGGAGGAGCTGGAGAAGCTGAAGGAGGACGAGGAGGAGATGGAGGAGGAAGAGGAGGAGGACGAGGAGGAGTAGCAGCAGCAGCAGGAGGCGGAGGAGGAGGAGGAGGAGGAGGAGGAGGAGGAGGTGGAGGAGGAGGAGGAGGAGGAGGAGAGCAGGTGGGGCAGGCGGAGGAGGAGGAGGAGGAGGAGGAGGAGGAGGAGGAGTTGGGAAGAGGAGGGAGGAGGAGGAGGAGGAATAGGAATAGGAGGAGGAGGAGGAGGAGCTCCAGCATGGAAGCCCGCGCCCCACGTCGCAGACCATAGGACGCGGGAGGAGGGAGGGGGAGGAGGGATGGAGAGAGGATATGGAAGGGAAAAGGAGAATCCGCGCAGACGTTTCTGGCCTTTTGGGGGCATCGAGCAGGCGGAGGGGGGAGGAGGGAGGCAGGGAGGATGAGGATGAGGATGAGGATGAGGATGATGACGATAACGATGTTGATGATGATGATGATGATGATGATGATGATGATGATGATGACGATGACGATGACGATGACGATGACGATGACGATGATGATGATGATGATGATGATGATGATGATGATGATGAGATGATGATGATGGTGATGGTGATGGTGATAGTGATGGTGATGATGCTGATGATGGTGATGTGATGATGATGATGTTGATGATGATGATGGTGATGGTGATGGCGATGGTGATGATGATGATGATGATGATGATGATGATGATGATGATGATGCTGATGATGATGATGATGATGATGATGATGATGATGATGATGATGATGATGATGATGATGATGATGATGATGATGATGTTGATGGTCATGGTCATGGTCATGGTCATGGTCATGGTCATGGTCATGGTCATGGTCATGGTCATGGTGATGGTGTTGAGGATGATGATGATGAGGAGGAGGAGGAGGAGGAGGAGAAGGAAGGAGGAGAAGCGAGGAGACTCGTCAGATGGAATAGGATCCAGCTAGACGCTTCTCTCTTGTTGGGCCTTGTGGAGGAGGAGGAGGAGGAGGAGGAGCAGGAGCAGGAGCAGGAGGAGGAGGAGGAGGAGGAGGAGAAGGAGGAGGAGAGACGGAAGAGGAACAGGAGGAGGAGCAGGATGAGGAACAGCGAGGGAGAGCGGGAGGAGTCGGAGGAGGAGGAGACAAAGACAAAGACAAAGACAAGGAGAGATAATGAGAAACAATAGCAGGAGCAAGGGCGCTAGGAGCATTGAAGCTCCCCACTGCCACAGGAGTGGTCTCTCGACACCATTAACGAGTATCTGGGACGCCTAACGGCAATCGCCGCCGTTCGGGGCTCTCTGATAAGAGGTTTTGAGTTTAGTGCGAGAGCACAAGAACTACGATAGGCCCTGCACTTGTCGATTCACATCCGCATCACGAGAGGCCAAAGAGGATGATCCCCGTGATGAACAAAGTGGTCCCCATTTTTACGAAGAGGACGAGAAGGCGATGAATGCGAGGAAAAACAGAAGAAGAAGATGATGATGAGCAAGGGATACCGATGACATTGTTGTCCCCAGCGCTCGGGGAATCGCGGCCTGCGAGAAACACTTCGGGGGAAAGATCTTGTGCGAGCTGTCTGAGACCAAGGGTCGCATTATGGTGGCGCAGCAAGATTTTCCGCAAGGCGAGATCCTCTTCTCGGAGCCACCGCTGCACATCGCACAGGAAGACGAGGACAACGAAGCCTTCTGCGCGCTCAGAGATCTCTACAATGGGGACCAGGACAGTTTTGACTACGAGCCTCTGTGGTACTGGGCGGCGCTGGTCTCCCTGACCGAGGAGCAGCTGAAGAAGGGCCCCAGAATAGGCACCCTACCGTCGGTGACGGCCACGCAGCAGAGGCAGCTTCTCTGCCTGTACCACGAGCCCGTCACCGAGGCCTCGGACCCGGTGAAGCGCATCCTGAAGAAGATAGGCTTGAAGGTCTCGGCGGTGTTGGTGGAGGAATTGCTGCAGGCGTGGATCCTGAACTGCTTCGAGCATTCCGAGGACCCGCAGGGCTACTCGGCGTACTTCGCGTCCTCGTTCGCGTCCCACTCGTGCAGGCCCAACGCCATCTGGCGGGAGGGTGAGGACGCGCTGCACATCCTGCGGGCAAGGGAGGAGATCGCCAAGGGCGACGAGATAACGATCTCGTACCTCGAGGAGTCGCCGACCTCGCGATTCCCCGCGTCCCTCGCCCTCTTTCGGCGCGCCTTCGGCAGCAATCGTGGCACGGGGGGGCACGCGCCGTGGAAGAAGCACGGAGGCGGTAGACTTTCGGAGGTCTTCGTTGATTATTGGAGGTTTTCTCGCCTCGGGTTGCTCTCTAGCGGCCTCGCCGAGAGCGCTCCAGGGGTGTTTGGATCGTCCCGAACGGCTGCCCGAAGCCCAAGACATGACCCGAAGACCAGACCCCTCGCGCAGTGAGCGAGATTCACAGCGGACGATCGACCGGCAGCCTCTGTGGGAGGTGGGAGGGGCGTGCTGGACGCCCCAGTGACTATCGAGACACGACTCACGGAGACGCGCCCAAGGGGAAGGAGCCGATCCTCGTCCTCACGAAGACGCGCCCAAGGGGAAGGAGACCAGGCACGTGGCCGACAGGGTGGCACGGGAGACGGGCGGGCACGAGGATCTGGACCCGTTCCTTACGCCCCTGCCCCTTTGCCGTGGGTCCTCGCCCTGGTCTTGTGGGTGCCTTCGGGCCTGTCTCGAGGCCCCCTGAGACCCTGAGAGAATCAGGGGACCCCAAACCCTCCCCGCCTTCCACACTTGCACATTATGGATTCTGCTCTCCTCCTTCTCCTCCTTCTCCTTCTCCTCCTCCTCCTCCTCCTCCTCCTCCTCCTCCTCCTCCGTAGCCATTTTGGCTCAAGGCGATGGCTTTGGGGGCTTCCAGCCCCAAGGCATTCAGGGATACCGCTAGTCCGCGGCAGGCAAGGCTGTTCAGCCTGGCATTTCGTCTAAGTCTAAGCCTATACTGGGGGATTTGGGCTCCCTCACACAGCCCCCTTTCCTTTCGGAGTCACTTTGCTCCTGTGTCCCTGTCGCAGCCATGGCCTCGTCGGACTCCTCCGAGGACCGCGAGCAGAGCCGCAGCGGTGAGCGGCGCCGGCGTGAGGATCGCGGACGTCGCCGCCAGCGTCGTGCCCAGGCTGCCGCCGAGGAACAAGCTACCCGTGACGCCGCGGCCGTTGCGACACTGGCAGCCATCGATGCACCGGCCCCCGCTCCCCTTGCTGGCGCTGGCCGCCGTGATGGTGATGGCGGTGGACGCGGTGCTACGGATGGCGGTGGACGCGGAGATGCGCGTCGAAGGCAAGATCCTCTCCAAGGACGTCAAGACCCCTGGCGTCAACCGGCCGCCCACCCAACATCAGCGGCCGCTGCTGCCGTGGCGTCTCCAGCCGCTTCCGGAGGTGACCCTGCTCATCCCATGCACGCTGCAGGACCTGCGTCATGGCCCCAGCCACCACCCAGCAAATCTGTTGGGCCCGCGGTGCAACAAGCGATGCAGCAACTCCCGAGTGAGATCCGTGGACAGCTTGAGCACGTTATCCAAGGTAGTATGGCGCAGTTGGAGGACACGTGCCGCTCCATCACGGGGAACGCGCAGCGCGCAATCATCAAGGTGGTCGAGGAGCACTCCGACGCCACCAATCGTCGACTCGCTGCCCAGGAGGAGCAGGTACGACAGCACAAGGCCCGGCTCGACAACACGGAGAGGGAGCAGGCGAAGCTCAAGGAGCAGGTGGCGGCTATCTCCCAGGCTCTGGCGATCGCGGAGCAGAACGCGTCGCTCGTTGACCTCACCCGCCTGGCCGAGTGGGACCGCGAAGCACTGCCGAACGTGTTCCACATCGGATGCCCTTCGGAAGTCAGTCACGACAACATCCTCGCGGCGATCCGGCCCTGGGTGGAGGAGACGGGGATGCAGATGGACATGGTCGTGCTGCATGGTGCTGTTCCTGCTAAGCATTTTAATCTTGAGATCATTGGTGGAGCTCAGGGGAACGCCAGAGCCATCACCCTTGCGAAGAACCTCAAAACCCATGCTGGTTGGCGCAACTTCAGGGCCACCGCCGTCTCAGGCATGGACGTGTCGATCTTCATCTCCCCGGATCGGTCACCGCGCCAGAAGCGGCTCGAGTTTCAGACCAAGAGGCTGGCACGACATCTGTCCTCGGAGTACCCGGGCAAGGATTTCTGGCCCAAGAAGCCTAAGGGCAGGGTCATGTTTGGGAAGATCCCGATTGCGGAGCTCACGGTGGGGGCCCCGGAGGAGCCGACGAAGATCCAATGGAACCGTTCGGAGTTGCAGAAGCAGGGCATCGACGTCGCCAAGGCGGAGAAGTTCTTCTCGGACACCTTCTCTCCTGCAGACGCGGTGCAGTGGTCCTAGCGCCGTGCCGACATGTCGATGGACTCCGTGGTCTGCGACACCGTCGTGCCGGGGCCTGGAGCTTATCTTCTGGAACGCTCGGAGCCTTCTCACGAGAAATCCAGCGAGGAGGCGTCGTAAGCTGAATCAGCTTCGCCCTTTTCTGCAGCGTGATGCGGTGATACTCATTCAGGAATGTCACGGTGATGAGCTCCGGCTGCGTTCGTACATTGGCAGTACCCCTTACAAGCACTATCGAGTCTTTCACACTAAGGTCCCGTCGTCCACAGGTGGTGGCATAGCGTTCTTGTTGCCTGTCCCTGGGCAGGCTGATGGCCCACAGGCACCGGTAGTGGACTTCGTGCCGATCGTCCATGGGCGAGCGGCATCTCTTCGTATTTCTTCGCCACGCTCTTTTCCCGAAGATGCACGGTATTCCATATCTATCTTGAACGTCCATAACTTTAAGATCAATGAAGCTCAACGTCGACGGCTTGCTGAACACTGGCATGACCAACAGAAGTGGGCAGAGGACGACCCTCTTCGGCGCCTCTTTGTGGTTGCGGGGGACTTCAACTATGACCCGCAGGGCCCCAGGCAGCATCTCCACCCCGAGCTGGTCCAGCAGACCGGTGCGAGACGAGACCATCATCAACAGGCTTATTGGCGGAGGCTGACCGGGAGGATGATGGAGGTGCTTGCAGAGGTCCCGACGCACTTCGACAGGCATTCGCAATCGGCGGCAACGCTGGATCGATGTTTTATCTCCCTCCCTGGGCACGTCATCTTTGCGCACGAGGTACTTCTTCGGGTCCATGCTGATCCTGCTGAGCTGTCTGCTGGGCGGCTCAGTGACCATGGACTGATGCATCTGGTCATTCGCCCGCAGGCCCCTGCGAGGCACGACCAGAGAGGCATCCCTGCGTTCATCTTTCAGGAACCGCTGTACCGACATATGTATCAGAAGCTGCGCGACCAGACGGAGTTCCCGAGAGGCGAACCACTGGTGGCGTGGAGCCGGTGCAAGGAGCTGATGATCCTCGCTGCCCGCATGACACGCGATGCGATCATGGCCGGCGTATCTTCCACGATGTCCTCCTCGAGCGCGGCGCGCGCTATGGTGCTGCGGGCGACGGCACGTGCTGTGTGGCGCCAGGATGTACGTACTGCGAGCACGTTATGCGCCACTTCGCCTCTTGCAGCTCAGCACTTGGTTGTGCAGGGAGGACGGGTTGCCCTCCAGAGTGCGGGCGTCTTCGCTAACCAGATCAGCTCCGTCAGTGCCGACCTGGCGACGCAGGCTCAGCAGGAAGCACACGGGGCAGCACGCCGTGCGGCGACTGCAGGCAGGCGGCGCGAGTCTAATCATTGGCGGAAGGTGCAACGGCGGGCTCAGGCCCGGGGGCGCATTTGGCTACCGTTTCGGCGTGCTTTGGTTCTGCAGGGGATCAAGGTCACGCACAGCGACGACGTCCAGCCGAGGGTGGTGCGCGATCCCATGGACATGATCCAGGCGCTGCGAGACCATTGGTCCCCGATCTTCGCCGACAAGGCGACCGATTCTGGGGCGGTGGAGCGCTACCTGGATGAGATCATGCCGCCGCTCCCGGAGCAGCCGCTCCCACTGCCGACGCTGGGGGATCTGGAGCACGTGGCGCGCCACGCGCGCCCGGCGGCTGCGGGCCCCGATATGTTGCCGTACCGCGCCTGGCTCTCCTCGGAGGGGTCGCTCGAGATCTTGCACGCGGTAATGATGAAGCTCATGCGAGGCGCCCAGCCGCCTCCTCAATTCAATCACTCGTTGATGCTGTTCATCCCGAAGGGTGACCAGCCGCCGTCGGCGACGGAGTGCATTCGGACGCCAGGGGCCCTCAGGCCATTGACACTGAAGAACTCGGATGCGAAGCTCTGCGCTGCAGCTGGCAATCGCTACTTGCGCACGCTGGCCGAGCAGTGCGTTGACGACGCGCAGCGTGGCTTCATCCGGGGCAGGACCTTCACAGACAATATCTGGCAGTTGGACCTGCAGGCGCGGGCCCAAGGCGTCGCACCATCCGCGGAGGAGCGTCGCCCAGCCATGTGCTCCTTCGATGTAGCCGCGGCGTTCCCGTCCCTGGCACGCCACTGGTTGTTCGCCAGTCTGCGGAGATATGGGCTGCCTGCGGAATACCTTCTGCTCGTGCAGGCGCTGTACGTTGACCAGTGTTGCTGGGTTCGCTCCGGCGGTGCACTCTTCGTGCTGTGCCTTCTGGACTCCGGCGTAGCGCAGGGGTGTCCTCTTAGCGGCACTCTATGGGCCCTGGCCTTCAACCCATTCCTCGCTGGCATGCAGAAGATCTTGATTGAGCCTTCAAGCAACGACGTGGCGAGGAGCGCCAGGATGAACATGGAGTACGACCGGCATGTCCTCCGCTGGCGCTGCGGCAGCCTAGCGGCGTGCGCGGATGACCTCGGACTGATCGTGACCGCCCTCGCGCACATTACACGTTTGAAGCCGCACTTCGAGGCCATGTCGATTATGGCCGGCCTCCGGCTCCAGCCGTCGAAGTGCGTTCTGGTTCCGCTTTGGGGCATCCTGTCAGATACAGACGTTGTTGCTCTCCGCGTGGAACTGGGCACTCTCATGGAGGGATGGGGGACTTCAGAATTGCGAGCTTCATGAAATACTTGGGCGTCAAGCTCGGCCCGGGCGCAACGAACGACATGCAGTGGGCGGAGGCGGCAGGCAAGTACCACATGCGCTTGTGTCTACTCCGGGACTGCCCGGCGCCAAACGAGGTGA